ATTCATTTGTTGAAAATAATACGAGTGCCTACTCTGTCCCTAAGAAATATGAGCCACCATTTAATGATTCTTTCCTGTTTCCTTACCAGCCTTCTCACTCACTTTATGTTCAGCCCACTCGGCTTTATTCATTACTGTAATCCCAGGGTCCAGCCCAGTGCTGACACTCAGTAGGCACCCACATGTGTTGACAAGAGAATCCAAACGAATAAACAAATATGCACGTTTAATCCTCACAACAAACCTGTAAGTATTATTGCCCACCCCACCCCCCAATTTTACAAATGGGAAACAGGCTCATAGAAGCAAAGTGATTTACCCAAGGTCACACAGCTAGTAGCTGAAATTCAAATCTGGTCTTTCATATTCATGGAACTATCCTGACCAGCCCTAGCTCATTCCCTTCCTTGAAAGTCTACAGCCCTGAAAGAAGATGGGGGTTGAGGCAGAGTGGAAACCCAGAAAGTCAGGATTGTGATGGGTGTCTCTTAGGGATTTTTGGGTATGGGCAGCTTCTGGGAGATGTGAGAGCTGATTGCTTCAGCATCTGGCTTATCTGGGGCTGCGCTTGGAAGGCTTAGAAGGAGCATTTCGGAGGAAAAGCCTCACCCAATAAAAAGCCCCAGAAAGCAAACAGGGATTTCCATAAACACCTGGCTGAGAGGATAGGCAGGTCTAGAGGCCCAGTACAGAAGCAGCAGGTGCCAGCCTTCCTTAGATGGCTTTGCAGGGCTCAGGACTTTTCTGCCACTCCTTGTGAGACACAAAGGCAAGGGCAGGAGAATGACTCATTAGTCTCCTTCCCCAGGGAGATTAGCACCAACCATTGACACAGATGTGAGTAACAGGGAAGTGATGTTTAGGAGTTGGAGGGGTGAGAGAGTAGGGATCCTATGACGTAAGGTGACCCCAAAGCAGGCTTCTGTATTTGTTTTTTAAAGCCTAGTTTAGGGACTTCCTTGGTGGTACAGTCGTTGAGAATCCACCTGCCAATGCAGGGGACACAGGTTCGATCCCTGGTCGGGGAGGATCCCACATGCCGAGGAGCAACTAAGCCAATGCTTCACAACTACTGAGCCCACGCGCCTAGAGCCCGTGCTCCACAACAAGAGAAGCCACCCGTGGAACTTCCCTGGTGGCACAGTGGTTGAGAAACCGCCTGCCAATGCAGGAGACATGGGTTCGATTCCTGGTCCGAGAAGATCCCACATGCCGCGGAGCAACTAAGCCCGTGTGCCACAACTACTGAGCCTGCGCTCTAGAGCCCGCGTGCCACAACTACTGAAGCCCGCGCGCCTAGAGCCCGTGCTCCGCAACAAGAGAAGCCACCGCAATGAGAAGCCCGCGCACTGCTACGGAAGTAGCCCCCACTCACCGCAACTAGAGAAAGCCCGTGCGCAGCTACGAAGACCCAGTGCAGCCAAGGAAGAAAAAAAAAATCTTAAAAAGCAAAAAAATACTTTAAAGAGAAGCCACCGCAGTGAGAAGTCCCCGCACCGCAAGGAAGAGCAGCCCCCAGAGCAGCCCCCGCTCACCGCAACTAGAGAAAGCCTACGTGCATCAACAAAGACCCAACACAGCCATAAATAAATAAATAGATAGATAGATAAATAAATAAAGCCTAGTTTAATTAGGGGGCCTGCATACCGTTTCCATCACCTTTCAGCACATCTTTTAGAAGGAGGAGGAAATGGGTGTATTTAATCCTTACAGCTGGATGCCTGTGAGCAAGGTCAATCCATCAAGCAATCAGAGCTCAAACCCAAAATATAAGCCCTGTTTGCCCAAGGTCAGGTGGAGGGGGAAGCAAAGCAAGGAAACCATCGGTTTGAAAGCCTGCCTGCTTCTTTTCCCACCCCTCAATCAACTGAAAGCTGAGTGCACAAGTATTATCCTGAGATTGGAAACTGTCTAACAGCCTGGGTTTTTCAAACCAGTTTGTGCTTAAAAAAAAAAAAAAAAAAGGAAAATAATCAGAAACTCTAAAGAACCAGTTTACAGTTGTGGTTTTGGTGTCGTTTGTTTGTACACTCTCCATTCTAAAATGTAGAGAGAAGTCGAAGGAATACAAAGCTGAGTGAGACTGTGAGGTTGGCCATCTCACAGCGCACAGGAAGGACCCCAGAAAACCACCCCAAGATCCCCTAAGTTTAATCAAAACCCTATTTATGACACTCTTCAGCCACCTGTGGACATAATGCAATAGGCTCCTTGTTCTCAGACTCCCATGCAGCAAATTCCCCACAGGGCCAATGTTTAAACCTGGTACTAATGTTGCATGCTTCCATCTTCCTGGACTGTCCAAAGAGAATGAGGTCACCTCCCTAAATCCTGGCTGTCTTTTTAAATCACAAAGCCAGTTCCCTGAGATCTCATGTGTGATTTTACCAGAAGGGCACTTTCATCTGATATTCCACATTGGAGTGGTAGGAGACCCCATTGTCCAAGAAGGCCAAAGAAATTAAATGTCAGGAAATCTGCTGATTGGGGCTGGGTATGTGGACATAAAGGGAACTGGAACCAGCCACACAAGCAGCTTCCAGAGGATACTTCTCCCACCAACACTACCAGCTACAGGCCCCTTCCACTTCCCACCAGGTCTGGCCCACCTCCATCACCACCAGCCCCCTCGGGGTCCCGCCCTATCAACACCTCTGCTCTCCAGGGTACATAGGGAGGACGATGCGTATTTCACGATGGACACAAATTCCCCAAATACCCTCTTTCTTTTTTTTTCGAGATTATTGAGAAGCGTAAAGAATGGGAGAAAGACCGGCTGTGGCTCCCCGAGCAGATCAAGAAATTGCCTTATGCTTCAGTCTCCTCATCTCAAAATAGAAATAACAACGGTACCCACCGTCACACAGTTCAATGAGGTAAAATATGTAAAGCACTTGTCCCAGAGTCTGGTTCAAAAGCGAATAGGTGGGACTATTAATATTTATGTTATTATTAACATGTAATAATATTATTACTAGTCAGATACAAAAGCTTGGTGGTGGTGGTGGTGGGAATAAAAACTAGACTAACCCACCCTTGGTGCTACAAGATGTCTTGGTGAAGGAAAACAAAGTGACCAACACTTGTGTTGCAACACCTCATACACAGATACACACACCATTTCTAACCCTTGCCCCGAATTCAAGGTTCAGTCAACTTTGCCTCCACCCAGAAGCCAGTCTTCACTGCCCACTGATACCCATCAGAACACCCCAGGGCACCCACACTCTTCCACCTAAGTGCCCATGTCCCACAGTGTTCTCTAAGCGGGTCCTGGCACATTTCTTAGCAACCTGCTGGAGTGTGAAATACCAGGGGCAGGGATGAAGTATCCCTATATCTCCTCAATCACTCCCGGGGGCCCAGCACAGGGCCGGGCAGAACATCAAGCAGAGACTGGCAGAGTAATGGTGGACCCACTGCAAAACCAGGCAGACAACACTTCCTTTCTGACCCAATAGAAAGCTCCACACAACACAGACGTGACTCAGAAAAGCAAATATGTTTAATCAATCAAGCTGTTTAAAAACAAAAGTCTCCTACTGTTGGAACAACTTTCAAAGTTCAAAAAAAATTTCAGACAACAGCATGATTGCTGTAGATTTTTCACATGGCCAAAGACTGGAAGAATAAACAGTGAATTGCCTTAGGGGAATTGTGGGTGATTTCTCATTTCAAAAAGTATTTCTTTTATTGTTATGATACTTGCCCTATCAACTAAATCAAGAGGGAGGAGAAAGTCCTTTGGTAGGAAATAAAGCACCTGGGAATCAGTGAAACCAGAAGAGAAACCAACATTCCCTTGCTCTCACTCCTGGGCAACAGTGAAGTGAAACAAAGCAAACTCTAGAATCCTGATTATCACAGTGATAAGACCCAGAGGCACACTGTGTCCGTTTTCATTCCCTGAGTCAGAGCTACCAGGTTTTTGAAACACACACACACACACACACACACACACACACACACACACACACACACACCATTATTCCTTGGGGGAATGGTACCTGTATCAAAATGTTTTCATCTCTATGAGATGAGCAAAAGCCACAGTCTGGTGACTAAGAGAGGGCTCCTCAGTCATCCCAGGGATGTTGCAGAATGGGGCCTAGGAGTCAGATCCTAGATCAGATTCTTGCTCTGCTGAAC